ACAAGGGGCAGAGGTCTCTGGGATTGGGTTAGTAGCTCCCCTGCCTTGCATTGAGAGAATGTAACTCTGCATCCTCCAGTGAAATGTCATCTTTAAATGGCTTGTCACTCATACTCCCCATATCTCACGTAGACCCTCCACTCAGGGCCTCTGGTTGGGGCAATAAGCCGGGGCCAGATCCTGCCCTGATCAGTCTCCAAGGGAAAGAGGTTTCTTAGTCCTTCTCCAAATCATCCTAAATATTCCTTATGGCCTTCAATAACTAGGAGAGGTCCAGCTTCATAAGGGGGTTCTGCTTATTTTCAGAACAGTGTGGTACCAGTAGGGAAGATCACAGGATGCAGAGTCAGCTGTGTGGCCTTGGGCAAGCTACTTAACATCTCTGTGCCTTGTGTCCTCAGGAATACTAGCACCTGCCCGGAAGGGGTTGTGACAATTAAAGATGAAGAATGCAAAGCCTAGGGCTCTATGAAAAGTAGTTAATCGTGTAGATCCAGGACAGCTCTAGGCTGACCTGTTTGTGGCTGTGTCCCCTGCACTCAGCACAGAGCCTGCCGCGTAGTAGAGGCTCAGTAAATGTTTGCTAAGTAAGTGAATAATCATGACCATTAGGTGGTGATAAAGGACAGTTCAAAGGTCCATGGCACTCTGAGCCCTGAAGGGCAGGCTCAATGTCACGCATGACACCGTAGCCCCATGACACCTGTGCGTATGGCTCTTTACAGGACACCCCATTTGGTCTCCTTCATTCCCACTGGGCAACGGCCCTTCAACATTTATGTTCTGTTCCTTTGCACTTGCTCATGTCCCTCATTTTTTATGTCTATTTGTCCTGTTTGTCCTTAGGACTTACCATCTTATAACATAACCTACGATCCATTCTATTCCCACCATCTACACCAGGGCGCATTCCTTTGCTATTTCACAACATGGATAGAGATCTGCATGCCTGAGATCAGAGGTTCTCAAACTCTGTGTGAGTCACAATTACCTGCAGGGTGTGATGAACACACATTGCCGGGCTCCTCTTTCAGTGTTTCTGAGTCAGGAGGTCTGGGTGGGGCCCAAGAATAAGCATCTCTAACAAATTCCCAGGTGACGTTGCTGTTTCTGGTCAGAGGAACTCACTTTGAGAACCACTGGCCCAGCTACCTTTTCTAATCAGCTTCCCTCTGTTCATAACCTGTGACACCTCTAAAACCTACATACTCAGTGTCTGGGTTCTGTCTTCCCTTCACACTGAGAATTCCCTGAGGTCAGGAGCCCATTGGGCCAGGTACTACCCAAGGCAGGGTCAACAAACTCCCCAGGGACAGAGGCTATGTTTCTCCCCTCATCCAAGGAGTCCACTGCAGAATGCAGCCAAGCTAATGGTTTACCTCTCACCTGGCCCCCGCCGGGCCCCCCACCCCAGCCTAGCAGCACTCACTTAGAGCTGGCCCTTGAGTGGCCAAAGGACATGTCCTTGTTGCAGGAGATGGGCGGGACACACACTGGGTCCTGCTTGGAAGCACAGGAGGGTGGGCGCACTGGGCATTTCTTGACTGCCTTCTGACCACTGCAGGTGCTGTAGAAGCTATAGCGGTTCTGGGTGGTCTTGTGGCCCTTGCTGCCCAGTGTGCCCTTGCGCAGGGTGCCCCGTGGGTCGCAGTAGAGGTCCGGCTCACTGCGGCTCGCTTTGATTTTCTGCATGAAGCAGATGTCGCTGCCTGCGCCGGTGGTGTTATAGCTGCCCCGGGGGTAGTGCCGGCTCCAGTTCTCCATCTGGCTGTAGGAGCTGAAGCGCCTGTTGTCAGGCTCTCGCTTGAGGGTCCCGTTGTAGATCTGGCCAGGGAAAGAGAGAAAGGCTCAGTCAAGGTTCTTGATTAGGGATCCTAGATCCAGCTGACCTTGTGATGCAGCCTTTCCCCGGCCCCCATAATAATGCTCATAGAATCCCAGAATGTTCAGAGTGGAAGGAACCTTAGCCATTAACTGATATTACTTTCCAAACTACAGGTTGTGACCCATTATGGATTATGGAATCAATTTAGCAATTGTGACCATCACTGAAAAAATAGAATAGAATAATATATCCTGGCATCTAAAACACCAGAGTGCAGGGCAGGAGGTAAGACACCCACTATCGAGTGAAGCAGTGTGTGGGTACTGGGTTGCAGCCTAAAATGTAGTTCTTACTGTGGGTTGCAGTCACAGAAGATTTATACTGATCTGGTCCCACATGTGCACAGTCCAGGAGGGGAGCTGGATGCCCAGAGAGGAGAGGGGCCTTCCAATAGTCACTTGGTGAAGGAAGGGGGAAACTGGGACCGGAGCCTGGGTCTCCAAGCCCTCGCCCCCCCACCCTGACACTAGCAGCTTCTGACACAGCCAGCTTTCCTTGGTCAGTTGTACTCAGCACATAGAAACTTCTATGCTGGTCAGGACTATTTTAATTGTTATCTTCCGCTAAACTCCTCAGCTTGTCTCCCCTCTGCCAGGGCAAGAAGCAAACAGACCCTCTCTGAGAAAACTCTCAAAGCCGAAGAGGGACAGTACTCCTGCTCCTTGGGCCCTCTGTTACAGGCACCGTCAGATAGGGGCCCACCTGGACACAGGGAGGCAGGCCCGGGGACTGCAGGATGGGGCTTTGTAGACAGGCTGGCGGGGGAGGAGCTGGACAGAGGCTCAGTCCGACAGAAAAACATACAAGGGACAATGAGCTGCCCCCAGGGCTCTGTGTGAGCCCAACTGGGGAGCCAGCCTCTCTGGGAGGAGGCTACAAAGCTGGAGAGTTGCTGGGAATTAGCTCTGGAACAGAACTGTCCAAGGAGGACTTTCCCAGGAGCTCACAAGCCGGTGGGTCTGGCCTGTTTGAACTTGTTCTCAGACTAGAGGATCAACATCGAGCCTGATAAAATGTCTCCACACAGGTGCTGACTTGGGACTCACCTTTACTGGGATTAGCCAGGGCCAAGTCCAGCAGCCCAGAGCCTGCCTGCCCCACCCGTGAGTGTATGTGTGTGAGTGTGTGTGTGTAGGGGAGGTCGTTAAGCAACTGGGTAATTCCCCTCTACACCAGATCTAGCCACACAAGGCTGGGGCTTTCATCTCTGCAGAGAGTCGGAACCACCCATGGTTCGAGCTCCCAGAGAGACTGGGTGTCAGAAGCTACCAGTCAGAAGTGGAGTCCAAAACTCAGAAGCCACAGACTATTAACCTGGGCAATGGCATGCTCACCCCCTCCACCCACACACCCAGCTGTGCAATTTCCTTCTCTTAACTGGGTCGAACCAACCTACCCCAAAGGTAACTGGTGTGTGGGTGCTGGGGGAAACATAATCGGACAATCACAAGGCAGAGCAAAGAGGAGCTGGGCAGTTTTCTGAGCGTTTGGACATGGGATGTGCACCTTGCAGATTACTTGCAAAATATGCAATTAGGCCTCCACGGTTTTAGCCAATGGCCACGCCCTCCATTCTCCTCTCAGGAAGGGAGGTGGCAGATGCCACTTTGGAGGGAAAGCCAAGCACTCCCAAAGGGCAGGCTAAGCCTTAAATGGAAATACAACAAGAAGCTCCCTTGTTCTCAGTAAATGACACGCCTGGACGTCATCTCAGACACCTGATGAGAAGTCAAGACGCCCATCCTGGCCCAAATCCAACAAAGATGTGATCATGCTGATTACGCCTGACGGAGGCTTTGAGCTTTGCTCTCCTGTGCTGGGAACGGGGCAGCAGGCAGCCTTCCAAGTCTCAGCGAGGGTGGGCTGCCCACGGGGAATGGATGCTGGCTGCACCCTCAGGGGAGTGGGCGAGATGGGGAAGGCAGAGACGCCCCAGTGGAACTGCACTTCCCACCCCCCCATCGGCCACACTCCAGTGGTGTCACCCATCCCTGAGAACCCCACCCCAGCTCCTGGTGTCACAGTGCTGGTGGGCTGTGTGGCCTGAGTATGGTGTCTGAGGACAGCTATGGATGACTCTCCCTCGTCACCATGGCCCTGAACTGTCACCTTGACAAGCAGGAGAAAAGCTTCCTCTCAGCCAGACTCCATCCTCCTCCAGCTCCTTGAGGGGTCTGGGGTCCCCTCCAAGGCTCAGAGGAGGCAGGATGCCACCAGCCCTTCCTGCACAGATGGCCTGTAACCCAGCCAGAGCCGGCAACTGAAACAGCATCTTAGGAATCCAGGTGCATTCCTCTAGCTCACTGGGCTGACCTGTGTGGGAGGAAGAGCTGGGGGTCAAGAATACAGACTCTGGGGACAGACTGCCCTGGCCATGTCAATTGCTTCATGGGTGGCCTTGTTACTTAAGCCCAGTGTGCCTCAGTTTCTCCATCTGTAAAACTGGGATTATAATTGTACTCAATGTATAGGGTTGGGGAAGAATCCAATGAACTAATGTTTGTAAAGCACTTAGGACCGTACATGACATAAAGTGTTTGTTCAGTAGAGACTTCTGTATCCCTCTGACTCAGATTGGAGACGGGATGACTACTTTTAGGACTTGGCTGAGGTAGCCAAGGACACCCACGTCATATCTAAAGGAGCCACCACTTTAGATATGTCTTAACGTCACTCATGACATATCTAAAGGAGCTACCAGGTTGGCATATGAAGAGGATGAACCCAGGAAGCCAGAACAGCCCAGGAAAGGAGAAAAGCAGTTTTCAGAACCCCATGCTGGTCTTGCCTCATGGCCACAGAACAGGTCTAAATGTGTTTCAGAAAAATTAAGGAGCATGGTCCGCTCAGATGGCACACCCAGAGTGAAGCCTGCTTTATGACGGAATGGCGTGGTGTTTCTTTACGTGGGTGCTGTTGGCATGTGAGGCAGGACAATTCTTCGTTGTGCATTGCAAGAAGTTTAGTGTCCCTGGCCTCCAGGCCCTAAATGCCAGCAATGCCTCGCAGTCCTTGCTACTAGCAAAAATCCCCCCCCACATTTCCAAACATGATCTTCCAGGGACCAAGTGAGCAGCTGCAGATGTGCGGGCAGCGCTCACATGTGCCTGCAGCAGGTGGGACAGCCTTGCTGCCAGTGCCGGGTCTCCCAGCCACACCCCACATCCAGATAGTGATCTGCTGGCAGCCTCTTCCTCTTTGAATACAAAGGACAGGGACACACACACACACTCCTTGTCTAGTTATCCCATATCTCCCTGGGAAACTCCAGCCTCAAGTGGGATGGTCCATGGGTTAGAACATTCCAGAGGCTAGAAACTCAACTTCCTGGGAGCAGAGTTGACTGCTCAACCAGAGAGAGGTTGGGCTGGACAGCCAGGTGGAAGCCTGGGGTGTGTCCAGAGAGACATGTTTCTCCACTCGGGAGACCAGTGGGACTCTTGGGGGCCCAGTGCAAGGTGGGCCAGGGAGGTCGGCTTTTTAGCCAGGAACCTCCCCTGGCCAGTCCCTGCTCTGCTTACCCTTCTGATAATGACCTAGGTCTTGTAACTCATCTACCTTTCTCCCCATCTCCCCTCCTTCTTGGAGAAGTGTGGAGTTTTAACCCCCCACTGAATGCTCCCTCTTTTCCTGTTCCCCCTAAAGTTGGGAAGCTCGCAGAGTCCAACTCTTCATTTTGTAGTCAAGGAAACTGAGTCCTAAAGAGTGACTGAACCAAAGTAAAGCAATATAAGCCCAAGATCCAGGGCCTCAAAGGACTTAATCTTGCCAGCTTTCTCTTGAGAGAGCCATTCAGTCTGAAGAGACCTCCAAATCTGGAAGAGCTCCTGTTTGACCAAGATCATTGGACGGGACAGTAACTAACCATTCAGGCAGAGATGGTGTCCTTCTGCCTTTCCATCTAAGAATCCTTTCTGACTCCACCCTTTGCACTCCCACTGCCCGGGCCGTGGCCCTAGCTCTAATCGGTTAACCACTGGGCAACTCCTGTGCCTCTCACCAGCCTCCACCCAGCCCCTGGGACTCTGGCCCCTGCCATGCGATGCCATCACCTTGACCTTCTGCAGGCAAAGCTTTCATTAGCTTTTGCCTTGGTGGAGAGTCTACAGTACCTCTCTCCTTACATGACAAACTCATCAGCCTGGCCCCACCCTGCTGTCCAGCCATCTCTTCCCCTCCCAGCATTCCCCATGACATCAGCCACATCCCGGCCTCCCTGCTTCTGCTCAGACTCTCCGCCACCCTGGCCAGCGTGCCTTGCCCACCTCTTCTCAAATCCTGCATTCCTCCAAGTCTCTTCACAAACCTGCTTTGACCCAACCCAAATACCGACAGTGCCCAGAGTTGGGATTATTTGCCCTGTGGTCTTGTTTGTCCTCTAGTTGCTAATGTAGATTTCTGTCACTTCTCCAAGCTCTCCAGGGCGGAGCTGCCCTTCATTGTGCCTAGAACAGGGCTGGGCTCACAGCAAGCGCTCATTGAAAGGGGTGCTGTGACTTGACCTAAGAATGTGTGCTGGGGTGAAGATTCAAGCTGCTGATTGGCAGTGGGGTTGCCGTGGCCTCCAGGGAACAGTGAAGCCACCATAAACAAAGTTAGATGCTAGGAAGGCAGGAGGGTTCTAGACAGGGCCAGCCAATCTATGAAGGAAGCACAACATGGGTTCAGTCTGTGATGGTCTAGGATACTTCCCTCTTCCTCCCAACCCAAGTGACAGCAGCAGGTTGACTGAGCCCAGAGAGTTCCATTCAAGGTCTGGCTGATAGGCAGAAGCTGCCTGGCTTCTTGGGAGTTGGGCATGTGTTGGGCAGGCCAAGATAAAAAGAGTGTCTGTGTCCCCAGCTATTACCCATTTTGAAACCAAGCTTCTGCCAGCAAGGTGGGGCTGGCCTGACCGGCTCTCCAGCAGGACACACCCTGCTCTGCCCTGCCAGGTCAC